TTTTTATGTTCATAGCAACTCGTCAAGTAAATCGTCCATCTCGAAATTATACATATGTGTATTTTAATGATGTTGCAACTGGTACAAGTGTTCATACAGTTGATTGTGGTTGGGATCCTCATGTGATGTACAGTGGAAATACAATTACATTTTATATTCCATCTCCACCTTGGATTCCAGGACATACATATTATGTTACTTTTGATAGTGGTAAGAATTTTTGTTGTATTTTTTTGTGAAATTCACTTTCATACTTGTTGATATAGGTGTGGCTAGTGGTACTGACTTCTGTAGTAAGTAATTTCATAAAATGAATTATAAAATAGATGATAAATGAAATGTTAAGAACCTGAGTCATCACCAATCACTGATTCTAACTTTTGGAGATTCGATATTTGGAATCCAGCTGTTTCATCAACTACAACAACAACTACAACTCCACCAACTACTGGTACAGTAACAACAAGACCTATATCAACCACTACTGCTAATACTTTAGTAAGTTGAAAGTATTTATTAATTTCATATTCAAGTTGAATTCATCTAAGTTAACAACTACTGGTATTGCACTGACAACTACAACAACAGTCACAACAACCACAGTCACAACTACCACTACAACTTCTGAAACAAGTAAAGAATTATTTTTTTTATAATTGTATAGTTCTAGTTGAAACCACTTGAATACATCAGTCTCAAACTGCTTTTAGTATTACTGGCAATTAAAATATTAAAATTTTTTTTGTAAAAATTTTTAGCAACTACAACAACGACAACCACAGTCACTAATCTTAGTACCGATCCAACAGTGAATGTCATGTATCCAAAAGATTTCGTAAGTAAAAATAATTTTATTTTCATATATAATTATCACAATACAGGAACAAGCATGCGCATCGTCATTGGCGCTTATGACTGCTGTAACAATGTTGGCCATAGGTCCTGTACATGCATTACTGGTATATGTTTCTTTTCTGAAATTTTCCGCCTCGTTTAATCCTAATATAAATGAAGCAAAACAACGTCATCAACTACGAGCAAAAAACTTTTGAAATATTTAAAAGGAAAAACAAAAAGATTGAATCATCATTTTCTACCATGTATCATCTAATTTATCAATTGTATTGCACTTATCTCGACTTAAATATGAAAAACTTCATCTTTCTATTTTTATTTTTAATTGCTTTTGAAGAAAGAAATCAATTTTTTTCGTCTTTTGTATTTTTCTCATTTTTATCAATTGGTTTTAAATATGCCATGGAACTTTTGAAATAAAATTTCACTTACAATCAGAAACAGACTATCTTCGACATTAGTTTAAGATTAGACATTGAAACAAAACCAATTGTTAATTGATATCGTAAAGATTAATGTTGTTTTTTCTTCTTTGAATCGTTAATCTTGCATCCTAGTCTAAGTTTACATAGAACCCGCAGAATCAATTATTGAACATGAGTTTTAGGTATATAACTGGCAAAGACTAGTTGAAAATGATTATTTGATTCACTTTCATTAGAATAGATATACAATTCAACATCGAACCTTCAATGAACTGATTGATTGGGATATAAAAAATCAGATTGTGATCAACAGAAATTCAACTGAAATCAATTCGATTTGAATTCAAAAAAATCCAGATCGGTTTGAGTTCGAAAAATCAGGAACTGATCTCAGCTGTGACAGACAACTTCCTATGTCGTGCAAAGCGACATTTAATCACGATTATCTTTTTCTTGAATTTTTGTTAATATCTTCTTGGGTGAATATTGTTACCCTCTCAGAAAAATGCTGGTTTTCAGACGAAATCATGTCTCCTGTTAACTGAGAGCGTGCTTATGCCGTCTGCATGAGCCATATCGACTCAGTTGTTGTCACTTTTTATTATGTTTATGAAAGATGGCACTATCTGACAAAATATATTAAAATCGAATTTTTTAGGTAGCAATCGACCTCTTCAAGTCAATAAATATTAATTTAATATAAGAATAATGAAAAAACTGATAGCATAAATTCTTATTCATTATCATGAAAAACGCATGATCATTACTTGAATGTATTTACAGTATAATTTTGTTTCATAAATAAATATTTCTTTTTTTATATCGAGCCGAATAGATATACATTTCATTTGTTGATAAAATAAAAAAATATGCGTAATTATATAATATTCAAATACTGTTTGTTAAATATAACAATAAAACATGAAACGAAACATATTGCGCATATACTGATCTATATAATTTCACCAAATTATGACGGATCCTGTGAGCCATGATGAAATGATTTTGCCCGAATAAATCCTTTATTATTACTCAATTTTGATCTGGCTGATTTTGGTTGTGGAATTCTACTAGAATTATGCGATGATTGTGGTGCTGATTCCTTAATTAGACAAAAACAAAAAAAATTTCTTTCCGAATTATATATATTTTCAATCTTACTGGTGTACGACGATTATCATTAGATATAGATAAATTAGTATTAGGATTATTTGTTGTATGACGTAATGCTAAAAATTTTGCTGATTGAGCTAATAATGATTTTCGAAGACGTTTATTTTCTTCAACTTGTCGTGCTAATTCCATTGTTAATTCTTGACGCTCACGTTCAGCAAGAATCTTTAGTAGAAATTATTGTAGAGTATTATTAAATTTTTTTTTCAAATCATACTCGTTCATTGCCTAAATTTGGTTCAATTCCTGTTGCTGTTTTCATAGATCGAAGTAATAATGTACTTTCTGTTTTTAAACGATTTAATTCCGATCGAAGACGATCATTTTCAAGTAAAAGTTGCTTTATAATAAAAAGAATAAAATAATAATAATAATAATAATAATCTACATTTAAGATTGAGCTCGCCCTTCTTAAATATTGATTTCATGCTTCAATTTTTTATGATATATTAGGGTGATTAAAGATGTGAAGGTTGATTATCAAGAAATGAATCGATTCTATCATTTAATTCAATGGCAACGAAAAACAGATATTGCTATTTTTTTTCTGTAATGTCTCAACTAGATTTAGACGAGATGGTTTAGAAACCATGATGAACACTTTTTCATAGGAAGTAATATCTTTTATGATGGTACAAGACTTATGTCAACTGTCATACTTTCATAACTCATATGTTCTAAAAGCTAATACAATAATTATTGAGTTACAATCACTTCGATATTTACTGTTAGAGTTTTGATAGTAAAATTAATTCTTTCTTTCGTAAACAACACAGTTATCGAACACATAAACTTGCAGAATAGATAAAGTATGAATGAATTAAAGTAAGTAATCGATCTTCAAGACGATGAATATTAGAGGTCATGCAGTTTGTACAAGATGTCTTGAGCACATCGACACTGTTTGAAAATGACATCATCTCGCAATGCTATCGATTTAGAGCCAAAAAATAATAAATTTAATCAAAGAGAAAGAACTTGGTTTATCTTATCATGAATTAAAAGAAAAACTAATCTGAACAAAAACTCAAGTGTCCAGTGAAACATAATTTTAGTCAAACCATCAATGATAGTATTTGACTTTACTTATTCAAGTCTTAACTTTTAATCGGAGAAAAGAAATCAGAAGTTGAATGTCCCAAAAAATGAGTACTCTAATTATAAAAGTGCTCGTGTGTATAGTAATAAAAAAAGTTTAATTAAAAAAAGAGACTCTCTCATGCTTTTTCAAACAAAAAGAAAAAACCAACTGGCTGCAATGAAGCTCCTTCGAGAATTCTAGGATGTGACATCAAAAAATAAAGAAACAGATTAAGCGTCGAGCGGACACAAAATTAACTTTTTTTGTGAGGGCGAGACCTTAAATAAATACCTCATTTGCTTTGATTACATCTTCAATACATGTATAATTTGGAATTCTTATATCAGAATATGGTTGAACATCTTTATGAAGTACTTGTTCAAGATGTACTTTATAAGATCGAAGAAGATTTGTTTCATCTGATGTATTAGATGATGTTTGCGATGTATCATTATGAAAAGTTTTACTACGTGCATAAGGCACTGGAGGTAAAGGACGTGAAGTTGATGGCAAAGTATTTGCAGGCACTACTGGTATATCATCAGTAGATAATTTTCGAGGCGTTATTGGTACTGGAATACGAGAAGGACTTGCTACTCGAGCTGATGCTGGTTGTGAAACTGGAGATTTTTTTGTTGTAAATGTTCGATTAAGTTCATGTTCATCCGATGATGGTACAACTTGATGAATGTTACCTTTAAGAGTTGTCATTTCACGTTCCAGCGATTCAAGGCGATCATTATCTATATATATATATATATGTAAGAACAAACAAAATAATTATCGACTATGATTCATAATACATACATCGTCGTTGTGTAGTTGTATATTCACTTAATAATGATGATAGATCGGTACGAACAATAGTAGGAGCAGTTTCTCTTTCACGAGTACCTATTTCAGGAACTGGTTCTCGATTTAAACGAACTTGTTGCATATTTAAAGTATCAATAAGATCAAGAAGCCCATTTAAATACACATCAATTGTTCTTCATTTTCCATAATCCGTACCATGACAACACCTCTGTAGAAAAAAATGAGGTCGCCATCGAACGGTTTTACTTTCTTTTGCAGTTGATTAATGTGTGCAACACTTTATAGCAATCATTTTTACTTTCTCAAATTTCACATCTAAGATCCGTATTTTGAAACATGATGCTCATGAAAATGTTATTTAAGATGTGCAAATTTTTAAATAACATATATATGTTTTATCCGATTTTTGATATATAGTTTCATTTACTCAAAGTAAAATCTGGATATTATAAATAATCTACGGTTTTTGTTTTCATATATGTCGATATAATGAAGCAAGACTATGTGTTGATCTTAATAATGATCAATAATTATCATTAGCACGAATGATAATTTATCAATGCACAGCTATTGACATCTTTTTTTCTTGTTAATTAACCATTTGTTAGCGTTGTGTAGAAAAAACGAAAGTAATAAATATCAAAATTCTTTCTTTAGCAAAATTTTGTGCAACAAACAAAACAAAACAAAACTTCGCAATCTGTAGATGACAGTGAATATGTCGATATTCATATAAGCGAATAGAATAATGACTTTTTATTATTTTTTTCCTGAAAATTCATTAGAAGCATAAATATTGACAATAAACAATAATCTAAAAATTTCAATTTATATATTTTAAAATTGTTCATAATAACGAATATGTAATCGTCCACTAGCGAAAGCAATCAGACCCATAGAAAATATAGTAAGTACATGACCAGTTTGAACAAGATTAGCACTATAACTATTAAACATAGTAACTTTTGAACCTTCAGCAAGTGCAGCAACCATAAAAAGTGTAGCAATAAAGAGAAGTATCGGTGCAATGAATAGCAATATACCTGTTAATTGGACAAAATTCATAGCCAATGTAATTAACATACCACAACCAAGTAAACAAATAGCAACAACTAATAAAGCTGCTGCATGTTGAGTACCTACGCCAAGACTAGTTTGTCGTTGCATGTCAATACATTTTGATGTTCCATTATTGTCATTGCCTTCACAGTATGTAAAAAAATTATAATATACTACACTACCATCTGAACCTTTCGAATAGTACCAAAAACGTGTTGCTATACCGACAATTACTAATGTTAAAGCGGCCATAGCAAAAAAAGTCGAAGTTACGATTAATATACGACTGAATGGATCTATTCGTCGCAAAGTTGATTGACTAGGTACGACCGCCATTTAATAATCTATATGAAAACAAAATAAACACAATAAAATAGTTCTATAAAAATAGAAATATCAATGTTCCATATTATTGATGAGAATATATACTCTGTAACTAATCATAAATTTATATTAAACCTCCAGAAGAAATTTTAATTTAATGCCTATTTTTTTCCGACTTTTAAATTCTATCAAGAACATTTTTTCAACTTACTAAATATGTCTGTCTATCGCACACTTTTTCTTTTCATAAAGAATAACGCAATGAATTAAAAATTACACCTTCCTTCACTAGTAATACAATACTTTGCACATAAAATCGACTACAATTATAGTAAGTAGAAAAAAAAAGTTCTGTTTAGATGTTTTATTCGAACTTGAATACATATATATATATAGGGAATCATTCTTTTTTGCTTGATCCATAGTATAAAGGTCCAACGGAGAGGAAAAGAAAGAGAAAATGAAAGAAACAGAAACGTAATTGACAAGCTTATTCATTGAGTTCAGCGAGCATAAATGGAAAAAAATCTGAAATGAAATCAAGCAAAAAAATTAGAATGTAGCCATAGGCAATAAGGTGCACTTTCATCTATTCCGTCGTCTTAAGAAAATGTTCATTTGATAGTAGTCATCATAGATTTCTTTATTAAAAACAAAATAGATTATAGGAAGAAACAAAAATCTCTGCATACCTTTCATTCTTTTTTTTTGTTACATACCTGATATAAATACGTATATAAAAGGAAATAAGATACTCACAGTCTTTTCTTTTTTTTTTCTTCTTAATCTTTTGAGGATTGACTTCTTATGACAGAAAAAAAGTTAAATGTTCACTTACAAAATAAGTTATTGGATTAGTACCTCTTTCTTCGATTAGTGAGTGCATATCCAACACAAATTTTCTAAAGCGTTTTTCTATTTATTGCTTGAGATGCAAAAGATGGAAAGTGTTTATCAGTAAATCTAATGGGTTGATCAGTCAATGCTAGATGACCTATTGTAAATTTTAGAGCATTATAAATTTCTATCTAGACTATTCATAAGGTTTATATGCGTATTGGAATAAAATCTATGCTAAAAATACTAATTTTACTGTATCTAGGAATTTCTTTACTTAGTCACATTTCGAAGCCGTATATATATATACTCGGTCCTCAAAAAGGTTAATTTCCCGTTTATATTCTTTTAATGACATTGCCATGCATTATTATTATTGGTTAAATCGAATGAAACATATGTAGAAAGGAAATAAGAACATCAAAATGTTACATTACTATTATTTGATTACCTTTTGGGGTTTTTTTTCACTTTACGGCAGATCATAAAACATATTTATTATGAATTACGACGAAGTAAAAAATACTGAAGTGGTCCAGAGATAAAAAATAGTTGATAGAGTAATGATAAAAAGTAATAAAGTAAATAAGCGAAAGTGATAAAGGTATTATAAATATTCAGCAAAACTATGAGACAGTAATGATTATGTAGTACGCCTCCATATTGATAAATATAAGCAGAATGGATATAGTTTCGTTCGTGCCATTATAGGCTATTTAAACTTGTTCTATTGATCTGATTTGTAGCATGACAACAAGTGTAGAAAAACTTGAAGTATGTAAAAAATGTTTTTTTTTTAAATTAATGTAGTCTTGGATTAATGACAAGCTCATATTAACTAGCACAAAAACATGATGTAGATTAACTTCTGTAGTTTTCAAAGGACAAAATTAATATAAGATACATATGTCACTTGAAGGTGCAATTCGACGACTCCAAAGTACTAGAGCCAATAACCGGATCGGAATCGTCACAGCATTAGATAGATACAAAAATAATTAAATCTATGTTTAGAAATCTTCATTTTTTTCATTCTTGAATTTAAAAATTTCAGTATATATGTATCATATTGTTTTGTTTAAGTAAGAAAATATGTGACATTTTTAATCTTAATAATTCAATAGTAAAAATTTCTTGAAATATATTCAAAATTTTCGTATGTATCTAATAATTTAATATTTTTGATTCCACATGATATATAGGAAACTGAGCTGAAACTGTTTTTTTTCTCATTTTCAGTAATCGGAACTACGATTCTCGTTTTGAGTAATTTTTGGAATCATCAAACTCTATTTAAAGCTACTATTACTAGAATATATATATGCGTGCTTACATACAGTCTCTGTTTGTATATAATTGAGTCATGTTATTAATACGAAAAAGTGAGATTAATAAGACAAAAAAATACAAAAAATATATACAGGCAAAAGTCATATTGACAATATTTCGGTTACATGAAAAAACTTGTCTTAGATTTCATTATGTCTCACTTAGTTATTGATCTGTCATGCGACATTAGCCAACAGTGATATGTTGTCAACTTTTGACGGTTTTTTTTACACTAATAGAGAGTTATTTCAATATCCGTAATGGCCTGAAGCAACCAACACTGTGAGAAGGGGATGTCTCGTTTTTTTTTGACAAGGAGGAATATTTTTCTTCTAACAGAATGCAAAAAAAAAATACTGTCAGTTCTATTGGGTGAAAAAAAATATTTTCCACGATTGGAAGACAAGTGTTAAATTTCCGTCAGGACCGCCGTTGTGTTCAATATTTATATTTCATTCAGTATTATTTGCATTGAATTTATAACATTATTTTATCTAAATTGAATGAAAAATCCAATTATGGATGAGTAAGAAATGGAACTGCTTTCAATATTTTACGAATTCTTTCACTTTCTCTAGTCGAAATATCTAAATTTTGATCAAATTATTTATTCAATAAATAAATAGGGCTAATCTGATTTTATTCAAGTTTGTCACTGAAAAAAGTCTTATTTTGATCTTTAGTTTGAATGTGTCACATTTTTTTTCTCTTGTTTTTACATCATTTGATAGGGCGTGAGCTGCTAATCACGAAAAACTTCAAGGATATCGGTTTTTTACGAATCAACACATCTTTTTCAAAATATGAAAAATTCGCTGCCTTGTTGTTTTTTCTAGCTGCAAAACTCTTTCGATGGTAGTGCTTCGAATTACATCGAGTGCAATATGTATAGGTAGAATTTTTAATCTATCTAGTTTTTCTATGTAAGCGATGAAGTCAAATATTTGATCTTCCTCGACGGATCATACTACCAATCATAAAATTATGATTCACGTTTTTTTCTCTTCTTTTCTTTTCTTTGTTGAGGAAAATCAGTTTTTCTGAGTTTTGGATTAAACGGATAGAGCTTGAACCGTGTTTCTACATTTTTTAATGAAAACTAAAATTGCATACAATTTGTTTATTTGATTCAACCTTACAACATAGAAATATCCACTGCTAGAGTGCTTATATTTGGCTCTATCTGTATAGCTACTGATATACATGGCATTTCATCTGTTGTGTTAAATTTCACATATTCTCAGCAGACTTTAGATCAAATAGACATTTTTTCGCTCCTTCGCATTGCTATCATTATTGTCAAATATTCAACTATGATTAATTTGATTAGTTTTTATTATTTTCAATTTTGAACAATATATAACCGTCATTTCGATATCTAGTAGTTTATTTAGAAGGTGCATGATAAGACCTTTCTTAAATTAGTTATTCAATAACTTCTTCAAATTATTGTTCAGATGATAAACCGGATTCGTTCGTGTAAAAAACGTCATTAAATTTTTTAGGTTGAAATAATAAAAACTCTTTCGTTATTCACTGTTAATTTGCTGATGTCAACGTAGCTCACATCCTTTTCTTCAGTTAAAAACTAGAACTGCAGTATTAGACATACAACAATTGACCATGTAGATAGTACAGGTTATCAACATAAATATTTAAATCCATCAGATTATTATGGATACTTTTACCTGACTGTAAGTTTTACAAAATTTATTTGAAAGGTAAAAGAAAAATAAAAGCGAAAATAAAGTAATCATCTTTTGCAATAATCCATAAGGATTATTTCGGTAAAATATTGTGATTAGAGGTAAGATATATTTTATCCGATAGACTTGTCTGTCTTTCATCAGTTAAACAACCTAAAATAAAAGCAAAGTTGATTGTCTTTATTTTTGATCAAATACAGACAAAAATACAATAGTCTTCATTTCTATCAAAACTAATATTGTCCAAATAAAGTATTATTCAAGTTTTAGCTCAAAGCCAAAACAATTTAAAATATCTTTAAACTGTACTAATTCATATCCAGATAACATGAATGTACCATTTTTCAAACGCCCCATCTTGCTTATCTCAAGTAATTCTTTACCATTGACGTTGTATGTAAATCATATTTCAGCTAAATGATGAAACATTGTTTGTTGAAGCCATGTTTTAACATCTTCAACTGTTAATTGTTTCATAAAATGTTTGGCCGATTCTGAACACGAGTCATTTGATGAAGATGAAGACAATGAAGTTTTGGAAGGAGATTTCGAGCTTTTATCCTGTTTATCTACAAAAAAGAAACAGTACAAAGACAATTTTAAACAACTTTTTGTTTAGTTTTATTTCCAGGAATGCATTTTTATAAAAAAATTAACTTCGAATTTCGGAAGAGTAACTAAATTCTTCGTTAAAGTTTTTATTTATTTATGATGCTTACCTATTTTTGGACATTGAAACAGAGCAAGATGTGAACATCTTTTATCCCGTTGATCGTACGATTGTATCATAAATATTTGTTTTGACGTTTGATCAAGCATATATTCGTTAACAAGATTTAAATCGATTGTTCGGTGACAATGAAATTCAATATCAAGAGAAATACGTTGTTTCCACTCGACCCAACCAACAATGTCATGTTCATCAACAAAGGATTTCAATTGACCAAAAATGTCATACGTATTAATATACATCAAAGTGTACAATAATGTTGTTCTTCAACAATTGTTCTCAGGTAAATCAATACCATAGAATAATGTTTCATTATATAAATCTCGAACACTGCATGGTAAAATATCTGGTACACGATTTTTTACTAAATAATTCATTAAACATTCGAATTTCTTTGAATCACCATCATTATGATGAAATCTGTCTTCTGAATTTGGTTTATCATTGATTAATCGCCACAAAAATGCTGAACGACTTACTGTTGCTCTCACCATTTCAAATAATATACTTCATACAAAAATATTAACAAAACCTTGAAGATCATCTCTCTTCTTTTTCTTATGCACTGATTCTTCAATAACAGCAATACCATCAGCCGTAATGTTGTGTTTTTCATCTGAACTGTTGATAATTCTATATTAGCAGTCATATGAGACGAATATTATGGCTTTACTGATAAATCTAAAAGCAGAGACCCATATAATTTAAAAGCACCCACATAACACTGGGCATTAAGAGTCATAAAGCTATCAAGTGATATTCCATGAAGAATGATTTAAGGGTACCCCTCCCCCCTTCTGGGATTTCTTGAGAACGGTTCATCAGAAAAATTTGAAATTTTCAGAGCAGATAGATCTTGATGAGTACAGCCAAAGTTGTCATAGACTCTAAATTTCCTGATGCTGTCTTCTATGAGATAATAGAGTCACAATGTCGAAAAATGGTCCTAGTTTTCGCCCCCATTTCTCCAAGATGGTATGTTCGATTGAGCTGAAAATTGTTTTACGGCTATTAGACACTGTTTGGGGTGCAAATTATTTTTAGTTTCTTTTTATCTTTTGTTGTTTCAATAAAAAAGTCAAAATACTGAGCCTACCCTAAAAAAACGCTTGTTTTTATTCCTTTAGCAAATTTTGTGAAAGCTGCCAAAAATCACCAGAGCAATAATTCTTGAAAAGAAAAATAATTCTCACCCCAAATGGTGAGTAGAATACGTAAAAAAAAGTTTCAGCTCGATCTCTCTTACCATATTGGAGAAACGGGGGCGAAACAGTACTTTTTCTGCTAAAAATTTGATTTTGAGAAAAAAACAAAAAAATATAAAATTTTAGCTATTTTCACTATGTAAATTTAATTTCTCCTCGAATTTTTTAATCTTTAAAAGCAATTGGTGGGTTCCGAAATATAGTCAGTTGATAGACAGTACTTGAAATTATACAATGGTCACAAAAAACCAAAAATGAAAAAAACAAAAATTTTAGGCGAGAACAGGGGAGGGATACCCTTAAATATCAACTCATCAACGTTTATTTACGTTTTAATCTCTCACTTCAACAGTTCACTGTAGTAGAAGAAACTACATTTCCTCTTCGAGCTTCTTTGTTGTGATAAACTGTTGAAAAGCAGTGCAAGCACCGATCAGCGGAGTCACACTTTTTGATTCAGAAACCCGATCCGATTCCGAAAAAATTATTTTTTCGATTCCGTTTTCAACTTCGACGAGAAATTTTTTCGTAGCTTAGCGATAGCGAATTCATATCAAGAAATCAATAATTATTTGGCTGCTGATTTTAGTTAGAGTTTTTCTGACAATAAGCATTCTGATAATATTGATATTTTATTATTTTGGCAACAACAACAGCATTTATATCCAATCTTATCAAGCATTGCAAAAATAGTTTATACAATACCAGCTTGGAATATAATCATTGAAATTTTTTTTTCCAGAGGCAAAAAACCTTGTTACAGAAAAACGAACACATTTAGTTTAGATTGTGAACAAATAAACTACATTACTTCAGAAGAATATGAAAACTTTAAGAGATTTATCAAATAATGATTTTCGCAAAAAATCGAACAACTACCTCAAACAATTGCGTCTCGATGTCGACGATAGTTTTAATGAATTTAGTCAAGAATATATTCTTGATTTGTATATATCATTTCTTCAACATAGTAGTGATTAATGTCAATACCTTTCTTGAATCATTAGTTTTGCTTAACATTTATTTATAAAACTAACAGTAGCATATTTTTGTTTATTATATGATACATTCATGAAAAAACTTGTTTCTGGCACGAAATCAGACACATTGACTTTTTGTACTAATATAGCTCAGATATTAGTTGCCCAAAACAATTTCTTGCAATATCTACCAGTTCAACTTCGTTAGAGTCTAAATCGAAAATCGGAGTTTGGTTCAATTTTTTACTCCGACTCCGATTCCGGAATTTTTTTTCACGATTCGGATTCCGACTCCGATGCAGTTCTCTAATTGCAAGCAAAATAATCTTGTTAATTCTCTCATTTTGTGACTAACAAAACGTGTGGCTGCCGTCCTTTGTTCCTTCACTGAAAGAGAAGCTACCTAGAGAAAGAAAACTAATAGCTACTTGTGGCGGACTGACTATAACTGTTCCTGTCCCTGTTATGTTTGATAATTATCAGCAAATAGATAAACAGGAATAATGATGACGCTCGTGTATAGAGAGAGAAGGATCAATGTACTTGATGAAAAAATAGAAAATACAGTGTAATTAATTAGAGAATGTTACTTTAACAGTATTATGTTAAAGCATACTTTGAATGGCATGGCAAAATGAGTCTTATATAAAGTATTATCATTAACTTAAAAATAAACGAAATTCTTTTTATCAATCATTGACAAAAAAGAAACGAGAATTAAATGAAAAATCTTATTTAACAAAGATGTGTACAAAAGTTGTTCGCAATTATGTATTTAATCAGCAAAAAGAAGTGATCAACTTAGTTCTTTCTATTATTTATTTAAAACTTCAAACTGGAATTATAAGAATTTTCAAGGGACTTCTATTGTAAAGATTCTGACTAATTCAGTGAAAAAGCAAATCGAATAATGCTAATCATTTATTCTTCAAAGTGGAAAAGGATAAAATTTTCATAGATATTTAATACAACAAAGTCTTCTCAAAAGAATAATAGTGATAAGTAATGTTTTTCATTAGTAGATAACATTATTCATGGTGATTCTCAAACAAAAAGATTCTTTCAAGACGATATGTTTTCATATATCTGAAAGAGAAAAAGAAGAATTATTTATATGGAAATCATTCTTTTTTTTTTGTTTTGAAAATAACACACTTAATAATACTTGGAGTGATACTTTTTACACTTGATATCTATATTACTATTCATCCAAAATTTCAAAAACTTAAAGAATTTTTACCGATTAGTGCAACAAGTAAATTGACTTTTTTCTTTGCAGAAGAAA